TAAAACCAGGGTGAACAGAGTATGAAGATTCATTTTCTTCTTCTGGAGATAAAGAGATCTGTCTTTTTAGTCTGAAGATGGCAAGTTCTGATTCATGGGTCTGTGGCATTACGCATTTCTTTCAGAGCACCCTGAGGCACCAGACTATCCCAGGTTTCTGTGTTTCGTAGCTCTGTTCAGGCTCTTTAAATTTAGTGGGAGATCTGATCTTGTGGCTCTTTAAAAACAACAAAAACAGACGCCCAAAAAACCAAAACAAAACAAAAAAACCCTGCAGATTTGTTTCAGATTATTATCAGCAATAATCAGATCTAGACCAGAGCTTCCTTCCCTTCATAAAACACAGGTGTTTCAATTCAGGACTTTGGTGCCAGAACAGAAGGGTCCTGGAAGATTGATCTCAGCATCTGTTTTGTCCCAAAGGTATCAAACCATCAGCAGAACTTCAGAAGAATGCTGATGGATCATGGAATGTCTCTATATAAGATCTTTAGGAGGCAATCATATCAAGAGAGCAGCAGTGTGATTCAGTGATGGAGAAGAAATGAGGAGGGTCCCTTCCAATCCAACCCATTCTATGATTCTGTGTATGAACAGGGGCAGAAAGTCAGGCTATAAAGGCTGCCAGCCCACATGCAAAGTCATTCATGGGAAACAGACCAACTTCTATTGCTTTCTTTTCCATATCCATGATTATATCCACGTTCAAACGGAAATCACAACTTCAAGTGTTTCTCCCTTCCTAGAAACTCCTGTCACACTTTAGAGTGGGAAGGCAGGGAGAAACGTACAAGAATCAGACACAGCAAATGCTGCAGCCAAAGAATACATGCAACAGATGGACATGCTTTCTACTCTTTCTTTCCTTAAGAGGATTATTTCAACAGTGCCTGGCTGGCGTCAGCACCAGAGCTAAGCACCAGCAACAACGCCAGCCAGCCTTACTCTCCTGTCAAGGCGTTTCATTAAGAGTTTGGTTCCCTGTTGCTCTCATGGCAGCTTGCACGTGCTCACTAAATATCCCATGTTCACTCCCAAGGTATTTGCTGATACGGAAAACTCTTCCAGCCTCCTCCCAAGGACCCAAGGCCACAGCACAAGTCATTGTCCTGCTGGGAAATATTCATTACACAAGGATCGGACAGAGGACTCAAGCTGAATGTGTATTATCTGAGAGGAAAAACCCTTACAAATGGACATCGTGCCCAGTTCTTGGACAATGCCATCAGTCAGCAGGGGGTCCATGTAGGCCAAGTAGGTGAAGAAAACAGCAGTGAGCCCCTTCTCCTCACACACAGCCTGGTCTAGCCACGGCTCCTGGCCAGCTCTGGGCACTACATAGGTTGGCAATTTGGGCCCACCATCTTCAATTCTCTCCTTGAGGAGGAGGGATTTCAAACCTTAGAACTAAACAAACATCCCCATGTTCCAAAGAGTAAAGAAAGACCATTGTTTTCCTTCCTTCTCAACTGTCCTGGTTTCAGCCAACCTGTGCTAATAGCACTGCTGCATCGCTGAGTGATGGGAGCACGATGGAGGCTGGGCTGTGTAGTACTGAGCTGCCTTCCAGGTTAAACCACAACACCAACATATCTAGCCCTCAGGCCTGCCTTTGCCCTGCTCTTTCAGAAGGTCACAACAGCCATGTAAACTTAAGGGGATGAAATACATTTGATTCAAAACAGAGAAGTTAAGGGACAGTCCCATCCATCTTAAATACAAACGTAAATGTTCAGTACGGTTTTGAGATGAAAACGAGGGCTTTTTTGTCATTAAGCTTAGGGGTAGAAAATTCAGTCACACAAATAAATCCATCTAACCATAGAGAATGACATAGAGGGTCACAGTCAGCAATTGTGAGGATGGATGTCCTCAGATGTTTAGTTCCCTAGGATCCCAAGAATGATGGATAGCTCTACATTTTTTCTATACAGGTGAGACTCAGCATCAAAATTTCTAGCAGAAACAAATCTACCTGAGAACCAGCTCTGTCCTTTAATCTCATTTTCCTATTGCCAGCTTTAGTAAAAACACAACATTTGTCTCTGACTGTGTGGACAACTTAAAAGCATTCGTATGACTAAATGTATTAAATAAGAACAGATACAACTATTTTCAGACATCACTTTCAAAAATCATTTACAGATCCCTTTCAGTTAAAACTGAAGTCAGAATCTGTGCTTTCATGTAACTAATTTGTTTAGTAATAGCTCTTCAGTTTTCTGAAGCATCAGACTCCAGTATCACCTAAGCTGAGCACACCAACTGATACGAAACTCAAACAGTTTTTCAGTATTTCCTACTATCAATGCCTGACTCTTCTATGGATATTCAGTAACTCAGCTGAAAAAGTAACAAGCAGTGATATTTCTGGATACACCAGAAATTGTTTGTTGAAAATCACTCATCATTTGGAAAGTAAAAACTGTCTATATAATTGCCTCTCCCTTTTCCTTCATCCTATACCAGGCTGCATTCTGTCACTGGTGAAGCTACAGAACATTGACTTTTATTTCTAAGATATTTTTTCTTTTTTCCTGAAGACTGAAAAAAAAAAATATCAGAAAACCCAAAAATGGCAGCCAAAATGCTAATTTTGCAGAAAAGTGAGGAAAAGGGGGAACCTGCAAAGGACTGGATGAGTTCCAGTAAGATAGCTTTGAATTTCTGTGGTGCAATATAAGAGAAAGCAGGAGGGATTTTGAAAATATAAATATTTCCCATTTAGAGATCTGAGAATATTGCACAGAATTATTTTAAACAGTTTAAATTATACTTTCATTTTTCACTTGATTCTTCCCAAAGCTTCTTATTCACCAAAACGTTCAAAGAATAAACCATTCCAGTAGAACTTCAGAAAATGTACACTCATTAACTCACTACTGCTTTGACTATCACAGTGGCTATTACAGAATCATAGAATCGACACAGTTGGACAGGACCCATAAGGACCATCTGGTCCAACTTCACTGTAATGAACAGAGACACCTACAGCTTGATCCTCCAGGCCCTTCATATTGTTGCACATCAGTTGCCTAACATCAGTTCTTCTCATTTTCATAACCATTTAGACTTTTTGAAAAGAAGCATAAAGAGTATATAGAGCAATGTTTTCAAGTCAGGATGCAACATATGAAGTCTGGAGTTAAGGACCCAACTTTTAGCAAAAAAAAAAAAAAGAAAAAAGTGTGTATATATACATAAATACGTATCAATATACATATCAATATGTATATAATTCTGTATCAGCTTGTGCAGGAATTCAGATGTTACAAACTGCAGAGCAAAACTGAGATTCACTTTCACAAATTACTGGAGGTGGCATGCTTGAAATCTAAGTCTTAAATACAAGAGTGCCTAAGTGACAGAAATATAAATGTTTTACGGCTAGTGATTACCTGAACTGGCTTAACACACATTTCACTTGGGTCTTAAAATGTGTCACGTTTTTGCAGGCACAGACTGAAAGCAACTGCTAATACTACCCATCTCCTTTGGACATCTCCATCTGCCCTAGACAACATGAAGAATTACAAGTAGAGTGCTCAGGATGTACTTGTACATGCAGAGAGCCCACGTGGTGCTCCCACACTTAATGCTGGGCATGTAAAGAGTTCAGTTTTCTGATAAAATCTTGAGATGCAACACTAGTAATATATCATAGACCTTCTTCTAGCCCTCTCCTGATTTATCTGATGTCACATCATCTTAACCTACTGAAAAATCTCTTTTTCAGGCATAACATCCACACTCCTGTATCTTGTATGCCTTCATAATTCTCTGTGAAAATCACCTTGAAATTTGATCTGCCAATCTAATAACACTTAAAGTGATGTAGGTTTCAAGGACCAGAGCTCAGGCCAGAAAACTTAGCAGAGAAAGCAACTAATGACAACACAAGTGTTAACACTGATTGAAGTCCAGCCTCTCAGTGGGGACTATTTTAGGAATAAAAAGTCATATATGTTTGTACATGTGCAATATATGCATATGCCTTTATCCAATTATGTTCCATTCTGAACGAGTACATATGCCATAAGGGAAAGCCACCACCATCAACCCACCACGCACACAGCACCATATTCTGCTTTACGTGCACAAATCCCAGTGTAAAAGCAGATGGAGGGGCCAGTTCTGTTAAGCCCAGGTGATTATGTCACAGGTTTGGGGTTTTGTTTTGTGTTTTCTTTACCAGCAAACTGTCCATTAACTTTTCAGAGAACTGAAAGCAAAAGGAGAGGAATTTGTGAAGTCGGTAGTCCATATGGCTGGCAGTGAGTTAATCTGCATCTAAGCAGCAGGTAGCATGAGCCAGGCTGTCTGTTGGGGTTGTTAGTAACCTAGGGGCAGATCATGGAACAGCAGGGAAGAGGATAAACTCAGCCTACAAATACAGTCAGGAATGCGGCAGGAAATTATTTTTGAAAACATATTCTGAAGCATAATAGCAACAATCAGACAGTCAGACTTTGTGTATGAAACCTATCTGGACTTGGGGCATACAACAGTGGGATAAAACAGATTAGGTATATGTATGTGTGTGTGTCCATATATATAAAAATAGAAATGTACATTACTCATATAAAAATGAGAAGTATGTGCACACCAACAGAGAATAACGAGGCAAACATAGCTTCATCTTACAATTTTATTTTATTACAGCAACACCAAAGAACAAAAGCTAGAATGGCAGAACCTGAAAGGTTCAGTTAATAAGGGGAATTTTAAAAAGGAAAAAACAGTGAAAAAACTTGCCACAAATTATAAGAAATGCAGAGGAGAAAGCCTTTGCAAGCCCACTACAGACTGGGTGGAAAGTAACACATCTCAGTTAGCCAAGAATCAGGGAGCACAGAAGGACACACGACCGAAGATAACCTACAGCACATTTATAGGACAGACTGAAACGAGAAGTAAATCTAATAACGTTTTCTAATTTAACATTATTTTCAAAATGTCACTCAATAATTTTGTTATTTGAAGTTTTGTCACCATTCGCGATGAAGGTGAGGCAGGAAATTATCATCCAGGTTGGAACATCCTATTTTATTCAGCTCTGTAACTCATCACAGGCAAAATCCCAGATAACAATAGCCCTCCAGCTATCAGCACCTTTTGGATGAGAAGTGGCAAACACTGATCAAATTAAGCAACGTGACACAGGAGAGCTTTACAACTATTCCTTATTTTGAAAAGAGGAGAAAGTTAGTCAGTTAGTCTTTATGAATAATGCATAAAGGTTCTAAGGGGCCATACAGCTTCATAATCTCTCCTCTTCCACAGCCAGAAGTGGATGCCCAGGTAAGAATGAAAGAGCAAGGCAATACTTCCCCACAACTCGCTAATTACAAGGCATCTGCAGCTCAGGAACTTGTAGAAGTGTTGCCTTTGTATTTAGTACTAGTGATTAGTGCATAGGTAGGGCTTCTATTTCAGCTTCAGCAAACAACAGCCCTCTTATCTGACCCTAACAAATTACGAGACAGTTTAACACACAGGGAGATACTCAAAACTTCCCATCACAAGCGAGATCTATTCCTCCCTGAACTTAAGCACCAGAACAAATCAAACATGACAGATGTCATTTGTATTACATATTAGTGCACTACAGGAAAGCCACAGCCGCTAGCAAAATGTGCTTTATAAAAATCTCCAGCACAGGCTGTGTAGTTAATAGAAAAAAAAGGAAGCAATAACAATTACTTTATCCAATAATTCTGACATCCTCTGCATCCACTCAAAAATGTACAAGGTTTTCCTCAAGTGGAAAATTTTTGAAACTCAGGAACAGAAAAAAAAAAAAAAAACCACAAACCAAATGCTCTTCCAAATAGTAAAGGTAATATCATAAAAGTTCTTACAAAACCTGAAAGCCATGCAGTAAGGATGTTTTGAAAGACACAATGTTCCTTGGGAATTAATATCTGTCCCCAAAATTGGAAGACGACAGCAGAAGAGAAGAGCTTCATGGAGATGATAAATGGGCTTTGAAGGGGCATAAGCCAGATCTTAAGAAAGAAAAGCATATCAACACAAGTGTGAAATCAGCTCAAAAGAGTGTATGACAAAGAGCCCCACAGCAGACCTACAATTAGGAACTGACTGTGTTTGTGGCTAACAGAAGGAAAAAAGGATTCAGTGGCTGGCCAGAAGAACTGCACGCTACTGCTCTCTGGATGATCTCTACCAAGTTTTAAGGGTGTTTGTCCTGGCATAGAAAGGCCCCATCAGAAATTCTACCATAACTCAGTCATCTCTCCTTTTTTCAGAAGTTCTGCTTAGTGAGAAAAAAAAACTTATTACACATATCCTCAAACGCAAGAAGAGACAGTCTGTAGTGGATGACAGCTGGAGCAAAGGGAATAGATTGATGTCTTTGTACTTTCAGTCCTACCAACTACAGGGCAGTGCCACATCCTTCACTGTCACAGGTCTGTACTTGCTGCCAGCCCTGCCACAGATATCAGTGGCCCAGTAGCTAATTGGCACAAGTGCACACTGTCTGGGCTGCAGGTGAACACAACCTCTTTTCTTTCACCTCCTCCTCCCTCCTCAGTCCCACAGATAACGAGTCCCCAGAAGACTACACGTAAGTACCATCTAAATTTTAAGCTGCATCTGGGATTCAGAGCAAATAAACTGCTGTCAAACACTTTGCCTCCAAAGGGTTTTCAGTCCTCCATTAGCTGTTTTTCTCCACCTCTTCAGGTTTAGAGGTTCTACACAAACCTGTTCCGTCACATAACCTTCACACCTTGCTACCTTTTATTTGTGCAATTTGTTCAATCCTCCTCCAATTTTGTCCCAGGTCTGAAAAGTGATCTCAATGATGCCAGCTCTCACAGATCACAAATACTGCCATGTTGGTGTTAAATTCAATGCAAGACTTCTTCTTAGGCTCATGTATGAGAAAATACCTTCCTCGCTCTCTGCATTCACTTCTTGCCTCTCAGGTCCTCCAACAGAGCAAAATACTTTTCTGCACTGAGATCTACTTGTCTCAGAAGGAAGAAGGAGAAAAAGGAGAAGAGGTTCCTTGGAGGGCTGGCAGTGACTCTTTGTGTGCCACTCCCGGTGTCACTCAGGCACACACAAGCAGCATGTGGGCAGAGTCTGACCTTGTAGCTAAGTGACTTTGTCAGGTATCTCTATTGACCAGCTGGCACTGCCCAAGTTGCCCAAACAGTGACAACACACTTCCACAACGAGAGCCCAGCTCCCATCTCTGATGGTCCAACAGTGCTTTTCATTGCTCAATTCTTTAAAGAACAAATGAAAAACTGTCAAGGTAATAGGAAGTTTTTGTGTGTGCTAATTATAGCACACAAAAACACATTGTTTGTGTCCAACCATGGGTCACACTGTTGCTACAAAGCTTTTGTAACTCTACTAATGCCTTTAATATAAGCTCCTATTAATTGTATACTCAATTCCTAAGCTCAGTGCTACTGAATTGCACTGCCCAGCAGCTAACTGTAATTGCAGCATGCTTATGGTGTGCTTAACCTGTATTTATAAAGAGCATTAATTCTCTGATTCTGTTTTAATTTGGTGTGGGACTGACAGACAGGCTTTTGACTCTTTTCCACAGAACTGAACTAGCACTAGCAACAGCCAGGTAAATACATCATGCTATCCAGCTAATATGACTCAATACTGCTCTGAAAGAAGGTGACACAGTACTTCACCCTCCTTAGGATAGCTGGAACTACACCATCCTTCCAGTGCCCTGCAAGCTGTATTTCTTGTTATAAATACCAGTTCATTATAAATCTTTATTTCCATAACAGCTACCTGTTAAAAGGCATGGCTAGAAGCCCAGGGAAGAAAGGAGCAGAAAGTAGCTCATATGATTACTACATCTGCCGAAGACTTCAAAATAGAGTGTTTCCCTAATCAAGAAGTCTCACAGTCTCAGGCCACTAATATTTCAGCAATTCTAGAAACTAGAGGGAGAAAAATATTTCCTTGACTGCTTCAGAACAGTTGTGGACATATTCAGCTGTATCAGACTGTAGATCAAATGAAAACATCACTTTGCATATTTGCTTTCCAAGCCTGTATTGAAAAAAAAAAAAAAACAAACTCATAGAAGCACTGATAAAATCCAGCATATTGCATAAATCTGGAGAGAAGCCAACATCACGCTTCTTCAGTTGGCTCTCAGCCCATACAAATTGCCATTTTTGACTGACTCAAAAGCACTGACACATACAGATCTTCCTGGTGCTATCGCTATGAATTATAACAGGATCAGAGCACGTATTACTTGTGTGTCATAAAGGACAAGATGAGGGTGGGCCACACAGGACCAAGAACTGTTGAAGCCTTAGATGCCATCTGTGGATTAGCTGCATCCACCACCATCTTCACAACCCCAGCACACTCCAAATAGCCGGTAGCTCCTGCCTACAAAGTTCTCCTAACTAACTAACAAGTTGTCTTCGCAGTATGTCTTCTTTTAGCTTTTTTTTTTTTTTTTTTATCTCCTCTTCTTTCTTCTCCCCTTCTGGTTGTTCAGGAAAGTGATAAATAATGACTATAGAAACTCCTTTGGAGACACCATTAAGATTAATGGACAGGATACCAGGAAAGAGGAAAAAGCAACATAATGTTTGCCAGGAAGAAGATAAGAAGATTTAAGGAAATAATTCAATATGGCAAAGGTTGCTGAAAGAGGATTGATTTTATTTCCAAGAAATACACAACATGAAGCAATGGACTTCAAATGCTACAAGGATGGTTTAAGTAAAGCATCTGGAAGAACTGCCACAGACGTATAGTGAGGTACTGAAACTGGTTAGCTAAGGAACTTCCATTCTCCTGCATTTTAGGAACTGGCTAGATGAATACCTGTCAGGCAGTGCTTAAGTAGAAATAGCCTATTTTAGGGCATCTACAGGGGTCTAATGACTTTCCAGGATCTCTTACAGATATCTTTTCTAAGACTCTTTTAAGCATTGTATTATCTTCTTTGTATGTCTGCCTATTTCTCTGTTATTAGCCCTTGCTTTGACAAAAAAATAAAATGGCAACATATGCCCTTATTATAAAACTTAAACCAAAATCCAGTGTTTCTCTCTTTCATCCTCTGAAAAGAATGCACAAAAAAAGACTTCCAATCTTTTTCATGTAACTACACTGATATATATTTATGCACAGAATGCTGAATTCTAAAAAAATAAAAAAAATAAATAAATTTTGCAAAATGTTAGGTTCTCAACAAAGACCTCATCCCTTTAGAACACATTTTTTTCAGCAGGCTTTTTTGACTGTTTGTTTGATTTCACTTTTCACAAGAAGAAAAAGTAACTTTCCAGCTTGATATAACGATTGCTGTTTTCCTTTCATGACTCCTTTTTGTTACTTCCTGCAGTAAACTCCCCATTAGAAAGCCATTTCCATTTCTGAACTTCACAAAGATGAAAGAAAACATAAAGGCAACAAAAATATGAGGTCTAAAAATGTTTATATTGCATACAGAGCAACTGCTCATGCATCCATGCTCACGCGTAATACACACCAGCAATATCTCACCTCTATACATTCATAACCTGCTTAATCTCTATTCAACTAAAACCAAACTGGGAAGCCCCCTGTCCCCAAATGCTGCCCTGCCTTTATCCCAACAAGCGAGCTGCAGGCTTCTCTGTGTATGTGATTATTGCTGTGCAATTCTTTGCCTTTCTCTCTGGGCCGTTTTCTTTATGCAGGATGACTCATTAGCCTTTATCCCCGGCAGGGAGCTGACATCCAATTAACTAGCTGACAGTCCTCTAGTGGCTCCCACTAGTCCTGTAAGACTCTGTTTACAAACACAGGCTGATGCCCCCATAAGGGAGGGGAAGCTGAAAGTCCCCCTGCCAGGCCAGTTTGTTCAAAATCTTTAGAGCCCTTTAAACAATACTTTTGTACGTTAAAGATTGGACATATTGCTTGCAGCAGGATGCAAGTCATCCTAATGACTACATCTGTGTTAAGTGGGAAAGGGAGCAGCAATCGGTGTCATAACAGGAGTGTTGTGACATGGCAGCCACTCAGATTAGGGGTTTCAGCTGGGAAGCCGAAGAAAGCTAGGAGATAGGGAAAACCAGTGAATTCTGTTAGAGAGTGTACCTAAGGATTCCTCCTGTAGTGATGTAAAGCTCTCTCAGAAAAAGAAATGGGTAAGAAGCTATAGCTGTAGCAACATTTGCTCAACATCTGGACAAGGAGAGAAGTCATTAACTCATGTAGTACAGAAGCTTTGAGTCTGACTTTTGAATAGGAACTCTTTACCACTTGCATCGAACACAGGCTTT